GGGTGTTGGCCATTCCCCAAGGGATCAAAGAGGACTCCCCATAGGAGGCAAGTAGCTCCCATTGGCCTTCCTGTTACATGAGGTTTTCACTCCTGGTTTTCTTTCTTCTTTCCCAGACATTCTATGTGCACAGATGTGAGTGTAGTTGGGAAGATTATTTTAAAATTCACTTAATGCAATTAATTTTTTAAAGTCAAACACAGCTGGCTTCCCTTAAAAACTGTATTTCAATAATGATTCTTACCAGTACTATGAATAATTGACTAATATCAGCTCATTAATATTCTAGTAGGAGAGTGCTTCAGGCTAGTAAAATTCATTTTAAAATTAGCTTTTAAAAATGTGTAGCTGAAGCCCAAGGCTAACAGAAAGTTACCCCAAGCAACAGCAATTCAGTGGAGTATGAGATTTTACGCAGTTTTGTTAACATAAAATTGTTTTGCTACTCAGAATTCGTTTTTAATTTCCCATAGTTATGTGTTGCCTAGAAAAAGGCCTCTGTCTCAGAGGTGCATGTTTAACTGGGATCAAGAGTGGGGCAGGGGTGGTTCTGACATGAGTACCCTTGTCTTCTTGGTTAGGGTCCCTCAGAGTGTTTCGGTGATCCCTCTTTGTCTCTCCCAGGGCTTCACCCTTGGGCCAAAGTTGTTTCCTATGTAATTGAATGTTTGGGGTCATTGTTGGTTTATATGAAAGGTACAAGAAATAGTATAGAGATCCAGGCATAGTGGCACATACCTGTAATCCCAGCACTTGAAGGCTGAGGTAAGAAGATATTTGAGACCAACCAGCCTGGGTTACGTAGTAGATTTGAGACCAATCTGGAATACATAATGAGATTAAAAAGAGAGAGCTCCCATGTACTCTATACCCAGTTTCTTCACATGGTAATATCTTGTAAAACCTTACAGTAATATCACATCCAAGGTGTTGAAATTGATATAGGCAAGATTAAGAACCATTACCATAGAGAACCTTCATGATGCCCTTTATAGCTACCCACTACCTCCTGCCTCTGATTCCTCAATCCCTGGCTAGCAGGAATCTGTTCTCCATCTGTTCTCATGAGGTTCAAAGATAAAATTGGGCCCCTGGTTTAAATAAAGACTGACAATAAATGTACACATATAAGGCATGTTATCAGCGATGATTGGGTAGGAAAAGTAAAACTCGGATTTCATGCTATGCAGAAAGAAAGGCTTCCTTTTACAACTGAATTCATTATCAACTCATGATTGTATTATGCCTTTCTTTAAAAGGCATCCCCTCGTGTTAGTGTTCATGACAGTCTACCAGAGTTCATCTAGCCAGTTTAAATCTGGCTGTGTTGTAGTAGAGGTAGTAACTGATTGAGTCCATGCCATCTGGTTTGTGCTTCACTTCTCCTTGCCTTGGGATCAACCCAGAATGCCTCTCTTCAGCCTCTGGAGGCTCACTAATAGTCAAAGGATAGAATCTGGATATGCAAGTTAATTATATGGCTTCCTCCCACCCCCCTTTTGGTACTGGGAATCGAACTGAGGGACCTGTGCTTGCCAGGTAGATGCTCTATCACTGAGCTACATTCCCGGCCCTGGCTTTTCTCTTTGAAAGGGTGTCCTTAGACAATCTGCTTCACACATGCTATGTAGACTTAGGGAAGATACCCAACCTCAACTTTACCCAGCAGAAGTGAACTCTAACTGCACTGTCAGATCTTGCTTTTCCACATCTGCCCCAGAACAGCTAACAGTAAAGGGAGAGAATGACATGAGTGAGCTGCCAGGCATCTCATTCAGCTCTATGCAGTGAGGTAGCCACCAGCCACATGTGGGTTTTGAGTGCCTGAAATGTGTGTATTGTGACCGAGGAAGTGAACTTGTATTTAATTTTGATGATATAAAATTTAGCCACGCATGGCTTGTGGCTGCCAAATGGACAGCACAGAGATTGCAGGTAACCCTCATTGGGTGGTTTGAGTCCCTCTACCCCCTGCTGTGGAGCAAAGCTGAATTGCATGGCACAAGTGAAGAGAGGCCTACGGTTGTCCTCAGGGTCCTCTGGCTACCTCTGTTTCCCACCCGGTATCAGTGTCTTAAGACACTGCTGAGCGTACATTTCCAATCAATTTGAGAAGGAAACATGAACTGTCTTACCCGGACAGTTGCCATATCTGTACTCAGGTGAGCCAGTGCTTGGCTCACAAGCACTTCTCTGATGAGCTAGGCTCATGCTTCGGCCCCACCAATTTGCAGGCACCAATTTTCGCCCTTGGTACCAGAATAGGGTTTGTTCCCTCTGCGCATCACTGGGTCACAGCGCCAAGATCAAGGTGTTACATTTCCTTCTTTGCAAAAGCAGTGATTAAAAGCATGGGTTTTGGAGTCAGGTTCTTGCTTTGGAATCTGCTTTTTTTTCACTTTTGACAGTGTGACCTAGGAAAAGTTAATTAATTTCTCTGTGCCTCTGTTTCTGCACCTATAGGATAAGGATTGTAATAGTATCTTTGCCGTCCTAGGGTAGTTGGGCCCAGTAAATTTGAGCAGCGCACTTAAGTACACAATAACTGCTTGAGCATCATCTCCTGTTGTGATGCCGGTGGCGATGACTATAAGCAACATAATAAAGATTTTCTTTCAGAGGAAATGACTTGAGGTGTGACTCTTACATGTGCCCACAAGGGGGCAGCCTAAGACTGTGTATGTCCCTGGAGCAACCAGCTTTGTAAAACTTTAAGGTGATGTGGGCAGTTTTATGTGCTTGGCCCTTTTTCTTCTGTTTTCTTTTTCTTTCCTCCTTCCTTTCTTCCTTCCTTCCTTCCTTCCTTCCTTCCTTCCTTCCTTCCTTCCTTCCTTCCTTCCTTCCTTTCTTCCCCTCTCCCTCT